ATTAACTAGGCATGGTGGCACATGCCTGTAGTCCCAGATACTGGAGAGGCTGAGGTAGGAGAATCACTTGAGCCCAGGAAATCAAGGCTGCAGTAAGCTGTGATTGAGGACCTGTACTCCAGCCTGGACAACAGAGTGAGACCCTGTCTTAAAAAAAAAAGAAGAAAACTTATATGATTCCTGCCCTCTCAAGATAATCTGTGCATTTGCCATTAAATTTTTTTACAATATTCCAGTTATACTGGAATTAATTTTGTATCTTTATTTTTAAATACTTTTTCTACATAAACAAACAATCCAGTGCTCAATATAGAAAATATAAAAATAGGAAATGTACTTCATTTAGAGATAACCCCTGAAAAGAAAGATGTGTCCTTTCTTTTCATATTTTCTTGAATTGTATTATTACTTTTGTATTCATTTCTTGTTTTAACTTAACATAATGGGAGTCCCAAGGTTGAGCTAAGGATACTTACTTAATACAGGGGATGATACGGCACAGAAAGCCCAATACGAACTTCAATAAAATGTGTATGACATTAGGCGTATATTGCTTGGATATCTGGACCGGTTAAAACTCTAGCCTCAACTGCAGGAATGTGAGATACTTTGTCTTTGAGATCACAGACGTGTCCAAATCTAAATGTGCTTTGTTACCTTGTTCTCATAGGAAGCCAAGCGCTTTTCTAACATAGATAAATCTTGGGTGAAGATCATGACTCGGGCACATGAAGTGCCCAATGTAGTTCAGTGCTGTGTTGGAGATGAGACCCTGGGGCAGCTGTTACCGCACTTGCTGGACCAGTTGGAGATATGCCAGAAATCCCTTACTGGGTAAGTTCCCTGGCTCTTTGAAAGCTCTCAGTATCCTTGAGACAAAAGGATATAGGGAGACTAGATAGCATTAGCCAAATTTGTTTTCGTTTGCTAAGGCTTAATTCATGTATAAAGCTGTTGCACAGATGAAACTGATATTTTGAAGCCTTATGTTCCCATCAAACACTTGCTAGATTTGTCCTGATATTGGACTCATGGGACTTAACGTTGCTTCCATCACTGGGATAAGACTGTATGAACATTCTCATACAGTGCCTGCTTTTAAAAATTAATACACCTGTTTTTCTGATATTCTTCTTGGATAAACATCTATAGAACCAACATATTTTATTATGCTCATTATATGAAACAGTGTTTAGTATATCCATGCAATCAGGATTATATTAAAAAGTATCTAATATGATATCTATCTACACACACATTTATGCGTATGGAGGCTTGGTGAATTCCAAGAGTCATAAAGTTTTTTTGTTTGTTTTTTTTCCCTTGGTTAATCACAATAAAATTATGTAAGTAGAAATATGTTACATAGTAGTATGCTAAGTGTACATTGACAAGGAAGTTAAACTCAAGCACATGAGCATTTAATTTAAATAATGATGTCTCCTTGGCCCACTCTGGGAGACAGTTGATCTTTCCCCATGAATTCATCCTGATGGCCTCATGACCTGTAATAGTGTCCTGTGAATAGCCAGCTTGTCCTGTGCACTGCAGGATTCAGGTCATCTAAGCCAGGCTGCCCTCGTAGTCACGGGTGATGGCTAAAATACTGGGCTTCAAATGGTGCTTTGGCAGGATCTCGATGAAATAGATAGTTTATTAAAGTTGAACAAAAAAAGTGACTATACTAAAAATGGAAAAAAGACCTGTATGGGGGTGCTTGTAAGCAATATGGATTACTTATTTATTCTTGGCTAACCAGAAAAAATTTTGAGACGGCTGCTGAAAAATAACCTTGCAATGAGAAAGTTAAGGTCAAAGGAAAAAAAGGGGTAATAAGCTCAGAGGGTAAAATTGGTGCAGAGAAAAACTACAAATGGACCTTAGATTAGAGAGCAAAGATCCTTCCTGGGGCCCAAGGTAAACAGTGACAAATGATAGGTTCATGAGATTCATAGACTAAAAGTTACTTGGGGAGACATTATGTTTTCTTGTCCTCAAATTGATAATTTGGACGAATTTCTATTGCGTATCCTTTTAAAAGGGAACCCAGAGCAGAATCTTCATCTACTTTCTTATCACAGCATGAATCAAACGTGAGCCTCTCTAATGGAATGGCTTCGTCCAGGCAACTAAGGGAATGGAATCACTGCATACACTTTAATGAATCCTCCATGAATATCACTTTCATATCCATGTTGGTGGAAGGTATCGGGCGGCATAAGACGTGAGAGATGTAAACCCTGACAAGAATGCAGAGGACGGGCAGTCTGCACTGCTGGTTAAGGACAAATTCATAGGCTTCAGCATACAGCTGGGGAGATGTGGAAGTTGGTGGACTTTTAGGAAAGTTGAGGAGTCTAAACAAAACCATGCTTACATGGATGTCCACCCCACTACCTTGAAGCTAGAGTTAGGGCCAAAATTTTCTGTAGCAAATATTTGCAAGTTTACTCTAATTTCGGTGATGGGTGTTTCAAAGGCCTGTGCTATAGAGCAGAGGTCCTCAAACCTTGGAACCAGTCCGTGGCCTGTTAGGAACAGGGCTGCACAGCAGAAGGTGAGTAGCAGGTTAGTGAGCAAAGGTTCAGCTGTATTTACAGCTGCTTCTAATCACTTGCAGTATCACCTGAGCTCTGCCTCCTGTGAGATCAGCGGCAACATTACAGTCTCATAGTAGCGCAAACCCTATTGTGAACTGTGCGTACACCCTATTGTGAACTGTGCATGTGAGGGATCTAGGTTGCGCACTACTTATGAGAATCTAATGCCTGATGATCTGTCACTGTTTCCCATCATCTCCAGATGGGACCATTTAGTTGCAGGAAAACAAGGTGAGGTCTCTCGCTGACTCTACTTTATGGTGAGTTGTATAATTATTTTTACCATGTAATAATAATACAAACATAAGTACACAATAATAATAGAAGTAAAATACACAGTAAATATATTGCACTTGGATCATCCTGAAACCACCCCCACCCCAGGTCTGTAGAAAAATTGAAAAATTGTCTTCCATGAAATTGGTCCCTGGTGGCACAAAGGTTGAGGACTGCTGCTATAGAGTTATCACCATACACCTAAAGAGGCTTTTTAAACACCATGGCTGTAGCCAACACCAATGTCAGTAAAGTACCCTTTAAATGTTCACTTTAAAGCAAAACCATTTGCAAGTAATTCTTCTAACATAAAGGTCTAGAAAAATGGAGTCTTAGGGATTAATTAGTTGATCTCCTTTATAAAATTATTAGACCAAGTCAAGTAACTGTTGAAGGACAAAAAGGTTGTTTTCTAATGATGGATGCTGCGCCATTCCATTTAGCCTCATAATTATTTAGCATGACCAAATGTGGTTCAGGCACCACTGACAGTTCTTAGATATAGACCCAGCATGAGTGCTATGTGCCTAACACCAGGATCAGGTCAGAGAAAATGAGGAAAGGGTTTCTGAAAGTTTCCCTGCTCTGGGAGTTCTTCAACGTGGAAGGACTGAGGGGCAGGGATCACTAAGACATCATGCAGGTTCAGTCACCCCTTGCTGAGGAACTGTCTACTGGACTACCTACAGCTGAGTTTATTACTTTTCTCTCCCTTCCTCATCTTCCACCCACCACCACAGACAGACACACACACACACACACACACACACACACACACACATGCGCGCACATGCACAACCACCCCTCTATTTTTTTTTTTCTCTTTTTTGTTTTTGAGATGGGGTCTCACTCTGTCACCCAGGCTGGAGTGCAATGGTGCAATCTCGGCCCACTGCAGTCTCCATCTCCCAGGTTCAAGTGATTCTCCTACCTTAGCCTCTCGAGTAGCTGGGATTACAGGGGTGCACCACCACACCCAGCTATTTTTTGCATTTTTTTTTTTCAGTAGACACGAGGTTTCACTATGTTGGCAAGGTTGGTCTCAAACTCCTGACCTCAGGTCATCCACCCACCTCGGCCTCCCAAAGTGCTGGGATTACAGGCGTGAGTCACTGCGCCTGGCCTATTTTTCTCTTTTTTATTCTTTCTTTTTACTATGAACATATTGTACTCTGTCACCCAACATTTGGGCATTATTTTATAACCACGCAGAGAAAATGTCTACTCTAAAATTGTTCACACTTTTAAAACATTTTTATTTTATTTATTAAGTTTTTACTGATGAAATAATCTGTATACCAACCTCCCGACATGCAGTTTACCTATATAACAAACCTGCGCATGTACCCCTGAACCTAAAATAAAAGTTGAGGCCAGGTGTGATGGCTCATGCCTGTAATCTCAGCACTTTGGGAGGTTGAGGCGGGTGGATCATTTGAAGTCACGAGTTCGCGACCAGCCTTGGCTAACATGGTGAAACCCCATCTCTACTAAAAAAAAAAGAAAGAAAAAAGAAAAAAAATTAGCTGAGCATGGTGGCACAAGCCTGTAGTTGCAGCCACTTCGGAGGCTGAAGCAGGAGAATCACTTGAACCCGGGAAGTGGAGGTTGCAGTGAGCCAAGGTCATGCCACTGCACTTCAGTGAAAGAGTGAGATTCTGTCTCAAATAAAAAAGTCGAAAAAGGGCTAAAATGAATAATAATACAAGTGATAAGGGAAGAGCAAAAATTGAAAAAGAAATTAAAACAGCTGGTAAAGTTTCAAAAAGAAGTACAATTAAAATAATCGTAACAAAATATGCTAGAAAATGAAGATAGAAAGCTATAGTTAAGAAAACAACAGAATACACATATCCATAGCATCAGGAATGACCGTAACAGAAAGAAATACAGAAACAAAAGCCTGCCTGAAAGCAGGTCAGCGATGGGAACATCCAGTGAACTTTGGAAACTCCTGGAGGCAGAGACGAGCGCCACAGCTTTTCCACGGAGCTCGTCACAGCTGGGTTTTGCTTCTGCTTGGATGATGAATTCATTGGATTCTCTTTTAAGTTACAATTTCAAGTATTGTAGGGAGCCTTTAGATGACACAGTGCTGGGCTTGGAAACCCAAACCCAAACCCAAACCCAAAACCAAAACCTGCCTGAGTGTGTTTTTATCTTACTCTCTACCTAGAATGTACAAGATTTTCCAGACTGTGCAACAGGTGTACATTATAGTTGTGTAAAAGGAGGGAATTCCGCCACCAATTTTGGGAAAGAATTATTTCTCCATCAGAATATGGAATGTTATTTGACAAAATTCTTAAAAAATCGAAAAATTGTTGAGAAGTCATGTGGGAAAATCAGAATGTTACAAGTCACACAATCTTCCCCGCTTTTCTCATCCAGGCTAATTTATTCTTTGAACGATGAGCTTTGTGTGGTTATAAAGGTTTATGTTTTTCCTCTCCTCGCAGGTACTTGGAGAAAAAGCGGCTGTGCTTTCCTCGGTTTTTCTTCGTCTCAGATCCTGCCCTTCTAGAGATTCTGGGGCAGGCATCGGACTCCCACACTATACAGGCCCATTTGCTGAACGTGTTTGACAACATTAAATCTGTCAAGTTCCATGACAAGGTTCGCCTAATTCTAATGGCAGGCCAACAGTCACCGTACCTTAGAACCTCAACTATCTTTAAGTAGCTCTTTGAAAACAGGTTTATAACAAGGGTTGCCTCCCTGTTCATTAGCTCTTGGCCAGTGACTAAAAAAAAATCTTGGGGCCCAATTTACCTTCAGAACTGTATAATTTCTTATTATCCAAAGTGTAGATTCAAATTTAAAAAATGCTAGTTTAGGATTAAGAATGCATTTTATGTAGCATTCATGGTTTTACACACCAAGTTAACTAGTCAGAAATCCAACAAGATAAAAAACCAGCTGTTCACAAAATAACGTCTTAACTAAACAGACTTGCCCTTATGATTTAATTGTTTTAATCTGGTTTCGGCATACTTTATTCAAATTTTTTTTTTTTTTTTACACTTCCATGTGTCTAGAATCATGAAGCTGCATGCGACTCACGATAGGTCATTTAACTTGATGGAGACCACACCTGCACAGCTGCCGAAATCTATTGTCTAATCCATCCCTCCACCCAAATTCCCTAGGAAAGTGACTCTTCTTGTTAGATATCGTATTCAGTTTCCCTCTGGTGCTTCATGCAAAACCCTAGTAACATTCATTTCTTCATCCTAGCATGCAGTGTTACATTTATTGAGCAACTACCATGTTCCAGATGTCATGCTTAACACTGGGAATACACTAGCCTTCTGTGAACTTGTGCTCGGGTTGGGGAGACAGGGAAGTAAACAAGTAACCCTCAGAGTACAGTTAGGGGGTGTTAGAGCTATTCCATTCGAAGCAATGAAAAGCCACTTGTTAAGGTCAAGCTCCTTGCTATCTGCTAGACATGATGCTGGCCTGGGGTTCCCAGGAAGAATATATTGTGATCAACAGTGAAGTCAGTTTTATGTAGTATAACACTTCAGAGAAATTGGGCAATTAAATTGCTGATAATTTGGGACTTCAATGATTATTATTGTGCTTCATTAAGCACAAAGATCATGAGAATGCCCATCAGGGAGCCCTAACCTGGGTGTATGGGGGTGTCAGGGAAGGCTTTCTGCAGGAGAATGTAAATTTGCACTGATGTTTTAAAGGTAAGTGAAATATAACCTTGCAGGTGAAGGGAAGTACGGTCAGGTCAGAAGAAGAGCATGCGCAAGGGAGTTCTGGGCACCCTTAGGTGTGGGAAGCCTAGGATGTCAGCAGCGTGGCTGTGTGAGGGAGTGTATTCGTTTCCTAGGGCTGCTGTGGCTTAAAACAACAGAAAGGTATTCTCTCAAAGTTCTGGAGGCTAGAGGTGACTGCATCTTAAATTGATCACATCTGCAAAGACGCTATTCCCAAATAATGTCACATTCACAGGTGTCAGGGCTTAGGACTTCAGTATATCTTTTTGAGAGTCACAATTGGGCCCACAACAGGGAGCCACGAGCAAAGAGTGAAGGGGAGATGGGCAAGATTCCAAAGGCCAAGCGCATCACATGATGGAATTCTGCTTCATCCTGAGCATGATAAAAAGCCATGGGAGGCATTTAAGCAGGACAGTGACCTGATCTGTGTTTCAGAAACATTCTCTGGTGCAGTGTAGGAGGCGGAATGAAAGGGGGCAAGGAAATCAATGTAAGAAGCCATTGCAAAATCGGGATAAAAAAGGCTGAACAGCTGTAACAAGGCTTGGTTAGAGGGGACAGAGAGGAAGGAAAACAGGATGGATTTTAATGGTTCAAAAATCAGTGTTTCTTGTTGTTTTATTGGGTGTGTGGGTTGAAAGAAGGGACTTAATTCTTCAGAAAAATCTTCCTGATGTTTTGCTTAAATCCTCTGCCACAGCTCTAGGACATCATGGTCCAAGAGCAAAGCTTCTCACTGTCTCAAGTTGTATGGAAGATAATTTAAGTATCTTTCAGCATCTTATTTACCGTGTAGCTTCCTTTTGTTAGTTAAATGCCCACAGACTTTTAGCCTTTGTTCTTAGCAGTTGCTTCTTAAGATCGTGTTGCTTTTGTTTTTTGTTGCTCCTGCCATAAGGTTTCTACAATCAGGGGCAGATTTTGTTTGTGTGGGTGCTAAATCTTGTAAAATTATAAATACAAATTCATATTCAAGACCTTGGAAACGGTCTGTGTAAGTGAGGGGCCCTGAAACTGAAGCCCCGTTAGCTTTTTGGTAGATCACTTCTGTCTACAGCTAAGGAGGACTTAGTATAACATTTTAGATTTTAGAAGCCTCATTTCATTTGGGAAACTGTAGAGATTTTAAAAATCATCATAATTTGTATTAAATATTTCTTTTAGAAAATAAGTTTCCCCCCTTACAGTATAGTTTATTTAGAATTGATTTCTTTCTTTCTTTCTTTTTTGAGATGGAGTCTCGCTGTTGTCCCCCAGCCTGGAGTGCAATGGCATGGTCTCGGTTCACTGCAACCTCTGCCTCCTGGGTTAAAGCGATTCTCCTGCCTCAGCCTCTCAAATAGCTGGGATTACAGGCACCCCACCACCATGCCCAGCTAATTTTTGTATTTTTAGTAGAGCCAGGTTTCACCATATTGCCCAGGCTGTTCTTGAACTCCGGACCTCGGGTGATCCACCTGGCACAGCCTCCCAAAGTGCTGGGATTACAGGCGTGAGCCACTGCGCCCAGCCTGGAATTGATTTTGTATTGGCTTTTAGATTCATGGCTTTTTTAAAAAAATTGTTTTTAAGTAGTTTATATTTGACTTTTACAGTATTTTATAATCTGTAGCTTTACTTTCTATGGGAAGGGCAAGTCAAAGTCAAGAATTAGTTTTTACTTTTTATATGACTATAGCTTTTTTTGTTTGTTTCTAACATAGATCTATGATCGAATTCTGTCAATTTCCTCTCGAGAGGGTGAGACGATTGAATTGGATAAACCTGTCATGGCAGAGGGCAATGTAGAAGTTTGGCTTAATTCTCTTTTGGAGGAATCTCAGTCCTCATTGCATCTTGTGATTCGCCAGGCAGCTGCAAATATTCAAGAAACAGGTTTCCAACTAATTGAATTTCTTTCATCCTTCCCTGCTCAGGTCAGTGTATTGAAATTGGAAAGTATGTTTTGTAAAATAGTCATTTTAAATCTCAGACATTACCTATTGTAAGCTTCACAAATGGCTATAATTTAACTCTAGACCAGTATTAAGATTTTCATAAGGACTCATTAAATATACTTAACCTTAAAGATTTTTAACTACAGATTATATGGTCATATATCTGTAGACTTAAATGTATATTTGGGTTATAGATATATTTGATGTATTGTCTTTAACTTAAAACAGTTTTCTTCCTACTCAATCTTTTGATGTAACAATGTACAAAAATCATGAAAATGTACTGATTGAACACTTTACTAAAAAAATGAAAAATAGATTTCAGCATTAAAATACAGGAAACAATGTTTTCTTCATTACTGTGATTAATAAAAATTTGGTGAGCATCTGCTCTGTCTCAACATTATGCTGGTTTGGGTAAAGCAAGTTTCAGACATTCTTTGCCTGCAGGCAACTTAAAATCTATCTAGGGAGAAATGTGACTTCAACATAAATGACTTAAAATGATAAGAAATAGAATTTCCATAGGTTATGAAAAAAGATATCAAAGTTGATGTAATCATGGCTTTACACTTGCGTAAGAATCACAACTATTGACCACGTTGTAATTTCTATTTAAATACATAAATACGCCATACAAATTCATAAAGCCTTTTTTATTTCCATAAGGTTGGATTATTAGGAATTCAGATGATATGGACACGGGATTCAGAAGAAGCCCTTAGAAATGCCAAGTTTGATAAAAAAATCATGCAGAAAACTAATGAGACTTTCCTGGAGCTACTCAATACACTGATAGACATCACCACGAGGGATCTGAGTTCCACGGAACGAGTGAAATATGAGACTCTGATTACTATTCATGTGCACCAAAGGGATATCTTTGATGACCTGGTAAATTCTTTATAAATGCTGTGGCATGTAGAGAAAAATTCTAGACACTCTCTGTGTTTACCCGGTAGAACTAGTTTGATTGAGTTCAAGGAAAAGATTAAATTCTGGCTAAGAATCATGTTCGTAATCAGAGTTTGTTTTTCAGTCTTAAAAAAAGCTTTCTTTTCAGTCTTAACTGAATGTAAATCATATTCTGATGATCTATGCTAAGATGTTATTGAGGCAATTAGACTTTATTAAAATTATTTTAACGTGATGATTTTTAATGTTAAAATTGTCATGTAACATTTGAAAAGCCTTCATACATCTTTTTTGCTTTTTACCTATTAATTGAAGATCACTACTTTCTTGCTATGAAAATTATTAGTACTATTGCTTAGTAGAGCTGTTTAGGACTTCCCTTAAGGCTTTCGAAAAAAATCACATTCTTAACAAGTTTTGCTATATTTTATGTCATTGATTGCAAATGGCCTTTCCTAATAGAGCTTCTGACATTCAGGTGTCCCACATTTTTGCTTTTAAAGAGAGAACAGGGTGGGAAAAGAGAGTTTTGTAGCTATAGAAAATGGGAAATAAAAAGAAGTGAAATTTGTCGTCTACTGTAAAATACGCTAGGTAAGAGGCAAAAAGCTCTTATTTTCATAATAATTTTCTGGATTTGTCTCACCACATTATGTAAAAAAGATTATGAAAGATTGGTCCTGATGTAACGGAAGTAAAGGTAGCACATTGAAGCTATTGTGTGCTAATCTCCTGCCTTAATAGTTAAGCACACTACTTGTCTCTCTGAGAAATGAAGGGCTCAGGCTAATTTTAGATTTCTTATTTGTCAAAGAAAATGATGAAAGTGGCTTAAAACTTTGGCTAAAAGATCTGGACAAAAGCATTGCCAGGCAATGGCCTGTCATTTAGATGTTAGAAATTTTGGCCCAATGTAATTCTTGGGAAAAATAATTACTGGATTAAAAAACCCCAACAATGTACTTTGTTATAGTCTTAAGAGATGTCTTTTTCCTAATGAGATTGTTTAGTTCCGTCTTCGTATGCCAAAACATACTTTTTTCATGGTTAGGACTATGGCATTAGGCACTTAAGGGTGAAATTTAAGAAATGAATATCTTATTATTAAAATGTGTAAAGCCACTTAAATTGGAGGGGCATAATTAGGGGTTTCTCTTGAGTTTTCTTACTCCCATGTCTTCCAAAGTTTCTTTTTTTACTCATCAATAGATGAATGGGTTGGCTGGTGATATAGTTGACACCTCTGAAATAGTTGGATTGTCTATGAGTTTCATTTATTTCACTTTATGATCTACATGAATGCTAATGTGTATATTTAATGAGTGATTCTCATCACAGCTCTAACATATACTTTTTGAATTTCAGTGTCATATGCATATCAAGAGTCCTATGGACTTTGAGTGGCTGAAACAGTGCAGATTTTACTTTAACGAAGATTCTGACAAGATGATGATTCACATCACAGATGTGGCTTTCATATACCAGAATGAATTTTTAGGCTGCACTGACAGGCTTGTCATAACTCCACTTACAGACAGGTGATGGAGCCCTTCTCCCCATCCCCTACCGTTTTTATTCTCTCGAGTTGCTCAGGGGATTTTTGCTTAAATTCTCTTAGGGTTTATAGACTCTTTTATACTAAAACCTTTGAAATTTAGTATTTTTGGCTTTATACCTGTGTCTTCACAGGGGATTTAGGTTTGTGACTGACACTGACCTTGCTTCCTCTGCCTTCAGTCTTCTAGAGGCAGAGGTTAAATGTATAAACACTGTGTGGACGCACAATGGGCAGGAAAGGGAATTAATTGCTGTGTGTTGTCAGGTGCAAATCACAGTGGATCTTGGGGGGCTGCTTGAGTATCTGTTGTTCTTACTAAAAGACAATTAAGATTTTCTTTTTTTTTAAGCAGGAAAGAAATCGAGTATCAGTGCAGGTAAAAGTGGGGAGAGACCACTGGCAAGGCCTCCAGAGTGTTAACTCTTCCCTTGGCCTGCTATTTATGAGTTGTATTAGTGACCCCTGCCACTGCAACCTCCCTAGACTCAGTCTCCTCATTTGTAAGATGAGCTAAGCCAGCAGTCCCCAATCTTTCTGGCACCAGGGACTGGTTTCGTGGAAGACAATTTTTCTACAGACAAGGGGGTGGGTGATGGTTTCGGGATGATTCAAGTGCATTCCATTTATTGTGCACTTTATTTCTATTATTACATTGTAATAGATAATGAAATAATTATACAATTCACTATAATTTAGATTCACTGGGAGCCCTGAGTGTGTTTTTCTGCAACTGGATAGTCCCATCTGGAGGTGATGGGAGACAGTGACAGATCATCAGGCATTAGATTCTCGTAAGGAGCGAGCAACCTAGATCCCTCACACGCACAGTTCGCAATAGGGTTCATGTGCAGTTCACAATAAAGGCTGTGCTCCTATGAGAATCTAATACTGCCACTGATACGACAGGAGGCAGAGCTCAGGTGGTAATGTGAGCCATGGAGAGTGGCTGTAAATACAGATGAAGCTTCTCTCACTTGCCCACCGCCCACCTCCTGCTGCGTGGCCCAGTTCCTAATGGACCATGGACCAATACTGTGTCCTCATTCAGCTCTAATACTGGTCTGTGGCCTGGGGGTTGGGGACCCTTGAGCTACGTTGTCTCTAAGGGTGCTTGCAGGGCTAATATTCTGTGATTTGCTTAGTCTAATTTGAACTTTGTAGTATCAACTACATTGTTTATTTTTGCTTCAGGGATGCGCTGAATGCTCATTATGGTCAAACGGCTTGCATTAATTATTCCATATTGTATACATATAACATAACATTACATTGTGTCCCGTAATTATATACAATGATGATTTGTCCATTAAAAATAATGTTCATTTAAAAAGTAGGCCAGGCACAGTGGCTCACGCTTGAAATCCCAGCACTTTGGGAGGCCGAGGCAGGCGGCTCACAAGGTCAGGAGATGGGGACCATCCTGGCTAACACGGTGAAACTTCGTCTCTACTAAAAATACAAAAAATTAGCCAGGTGTGGTGGCGTGTGCCCATAGTCCTGGCTACTCGGGAGGCTGAGGTAGGAGAATCGCTTGAACCCAGGAGGTGGAGGTTGCAGTGAGGCAAGATCACGCCACTGCACTCCAGCCTGGGTGACAGAGCAAAACTCAGTCTCAAAAAAAAAAAAAAAGTGGAATTCCCAAATACGAATTTCTTATAAAATGCTTATGTGGTTATTTTATGTCTCCTGCCTTTCAAGCCTCCAGCACTTCCTTGTCTTCCTCTGTCTCCACCGAAGGCCTTATTTCTTGACTTTCTTGAGAAGATAGAAGCGTTCATCTCCACCACCATGTGCATTAACCTGGGTGACTGTTCTCATACAGCTGCTTTCTCTCCAGGTTCGCCGTCCAAAGCCAACGCCTCCACTGACCCCAGGATTTCCTCTCTGGAAGCATCATCCATTTTCACTTTCTACTGAATCCTTTTCATCAACACACAAACCTGCTGTGATTGCTTCCACACAGCAAACCCTACCGTGATTGCCCCGGTTTCCTTCCCGTTCCATGCTCCCTTCAAAACCCCTCAAAAACACAGTTTCTCTCCACCTTGTTTCTTTTCAACTCACTTCATTCAGGCTCTCTGCTAATTTTCTATTGCTGCCGTAAAGAATTGCCACAAATTTAGAAGGCTGAACAACACGAATGTGTTCTTTTTGTAGTTCTGTCCATCAGAAGTCTGATACAGGTCTCATGGGCTTATAATCAGGTGTCAGCAGGGCTGTGTTTCTTCCCGGAGACTGAGTTCTGTTTCCCGCTCTCCCAGGCTGTTGGCAGAATTCCTTTCCTCCTGGTTGGAGGACGCAGGTCCCCATTGTCTTAGGTCAGCTCAGGGCTGTTCCAGCGTCTGAAGGCCACCACGTTCCTTGATCCTGACTCCTTCCCTCATCTTCAAAGCCAGCAGTGGTGGGTCAGGTGCCTTCCATGCTTTGAATCCCCCCTCCTTCTTCTGTCTCGTGTCTCTGACCCACTCTTCTGCCTATCTCTTCTGCGTCTAAGGACTCATGAGATTAGGTTGAGTCCCCTTTATTATCCAACATAATCCCCCCTTCTCAGGTCCTTAACATTAATGACATCTGCAAAGTCCCTTTAGCTGTGGAAGGTAAGATGTTTACAGGTTGCAGAGATTAGAACATGAGTATTTTAGGGGGACCATTATTTTGTCATACTTTCCCCATCACTGATAAAACAGCTCTCCTGAAAGTCACCCAGACCTGTTGCTAAATCCAGTGGTTTTTCCTGGATCTCGTCTTTCTTGAACAATCAGCTGCATGGGTGCTGTTGATCATTCTCTCCTTTTTGATACACTTTCATCACATGGCTTCCAGGACACTGCACTCACCTGGTTCCTCCTAATGGTCTGGTTGTCCTTTTGTACCTGTTCCTACTGGTTCCTCTTCATCTTTTTGACCTTTAAACATAGACCTGCCAGGCTCTTCTCTTCTCCACCTCTACTCATTCCTTAGGTGATCCCACATGACTTTAAAAACCCCAAACTCTGCCTCAAACCAGCCAGGGCTTCTCTCCTGAACTCCAGACACACATACCTATCTGTCTGTGTGACATGTCCATTGGATGCTTACAGGATATTTAACCTCAGCGTGTTTGACCAGCCTCACAAAAGTATCCTCCTGTCTTCATCTTCATTTTAGCAAGTGGCCATTCCATTTTGTCAGAGTGGTGGGGGGAAGTGTGATAGTCAGAATAATGCCCCCGCAAAAGATGTCCATGTCCGAACCCCTGAAGCCTGTGAATACATCACCTTCCCAAAGTGCAATCCAGCACTCCTTGGAGTAAGCTGGAAGCCCTTCCTTCTCTCTCACCTCATTATCCAATAATCTACCATCAATTTGGTCAGCACTACTTTCAGGTTCCTTCTAGAATGTGATGACAGTTTTCACCCCTTTGCCTTATGACGGCTCCGATGCCTGGAGGAACACCAGAGTCCTTTGTCTTGCGCCGATTAGATAAACGCCATGGACACACGTGCAGTGGTTTCAAGGAGTGGAAAGTTTAATGGGCAAGAAAAAAGGAAAAATCTCCCCGGTACAGAGACAGAGAAGGGGTGCTTGGAGCGGAGAGACAAAAACCATGTAAACGGGAAAATGGTCGGTTATTTTAGGAGGCTAGAGGAGGCGGTGTCTGATTTGCACAGGGCTTAGGGTATTGGTTTGACCAGGTGTGTCATTCATGTAGCCCTGGAGAAAACTGGCCCTCCCACCCCAGTCTTTTAATATGCAAATGCAGGTCGCCATGATTCCTGCACACGTGGAGTTATCTGGAGGCAGCCATGATGCTTGGCGCACATGGTGACAAGGAGAAGAGGGTGGGAATTGCCATGCTGGATGGACCCAGTTTCTAATCACCAGCATTTGCATTTCAAAGCTTGCCAGCCTGGCTCTTTAAGCCGCTTTTCTGTTAGAAAAGAAATGTTTCGGGAGATGCTTTTATTAAAAGGAAAAAACCTTACCGAGGACTCCTTTTAACCCTCTCTATCTGCCTACAATTATTCTTATATCATTACTACTCTTTTTTTTTTTTTTTTTTTTTTTTTAGAAGAAGTCTCACTCTGTCGCCCAGCCTGGAGCACAGTGGTGCAATCTCCGCTCACCGCATCCTCCCGGGTTCAAGTGATTCTCCTGCCTTAGTCTCCTGAGTAGCTGGGACTACAGGCGCAAGCCACCATGCCTGGCTAATTTTTGTGTTTTTAGTAGAGACAGGGTTTCACCGTGTTGGCCAGGGTGTTCTTGAACTCCTAACCTCAGTTGATCTGCCCTCCTCAGCCTCCCAAAGTGCTGGGATTACAGGAATCATACTACTTTTATCCAGACGACCATAGTCTCTGACCTGGATCCTTCTGATAATGTTTTAACTGGCTTTCCTGCCTCTGTCGTTGTCCCTGTACAGTCTGTTCTCAGTTCAGACACCAGAATGTAAGTCAGATCCTTTGCCCCAAAACTTCTCCCATGGTTCCATCTCATGCAAAGTAAAAGCCAATGTCCTCACATGGGCCTGTGAGGCCTGGTACAATCTGGCCTCTGCTACTTCTCTGCTTCTCTATCCTCATTCAGCTCGGGCCACCTGCTTGAGCTGTGGCACCTGTACCAGCTGTGGCACAGTCCTGCCTCAGGGCCCTTGCACTTGTTACACACTTAGCCTGGAACCCTTTTCCTTCAATAGTGGCATATTTTGCTTCCTTCTTCCTTCAGGCCTCTGCTAGAGAGTCACCTCAGAGGGTCTCCCGACCTCCCACAATCTCCAAATCCCATAACCCTCTTACCCAGCTTGATTTTCCCTGTTTCTTATTTTTAAATAATCTTTTATTTTTATTATTTTTTTTAGAATGAAAGATCCTTGGTGCATGAGCTTCATGTGATGTGTTTGCTAGAATTGTTCTGTCACATAACAGATGCTAAATAAATGGTTCTTGAATAAATGAAAGAAGTGATTATTTCCAAAATTGCATCTTAATGGTGAAAAATGTAAATGGTACAGAAGAACGTGAAGTAGAATGTGTGGGAGGGAAAACTTTTCTATTTTTCAAAATGATCAACAGTTTATTTTCTATCCCTCTGAAAACTGTGGATGCTTAGATATCAAAATCCTTTTTCAGTTTCACATATAGGTATCATAGTTTACAGTCTTTTCTGCAACTTGATTCTTCCACTGTGTTCTTTATCTTGTATATCTTTTGATGTCAAAAAACCTGAGAACTTTGAAAGCAAAATAAGGATTTTTAAATATGTAAGTGAAGGGATTCTGAAGTTTGTCTGTTTCACCCTAAATGCCCACTTGTTTATTTTTCTTTAACTAACTTGATTGTGTGGGAAGTGAGTTATTAATTTTCGATAGTAACTGAGATTCCACTGCAAGATTTCCTTCCCTTTTGCAAGAGAAAACTTGTTGAAATTAATACTTTAAAAAAGTCAAATGTTGGAGGCACTGACATGTTATCATCCCTTCACTGACTGACTTGTGAATTTAACAACTGTGGCAGCTCCCTGGATTCGGGGAAGCTCAATGCCATGTGGACAGAGTTGCAGACGTTTCAGATGATAAAATAGCTATTATAATGTGATAACATACAGTGCTTTCCTCCAAAACTCATAGTGTTTTTAATGAAGACTAGAATTGTCTTGACTACTGCTGTCACTTAAGCAGAGGGCAGAGGAAATTGAGGGCTGATGGAGACATCTTATCTGCTTGATAAGAAATGTAGACAAGACTTGTACCTTTCTCTGACATTCCCACAGCTTCTGTGAGTTTTGAGTGTTGACTGCTCAGCTCTGTCCCTAGCAGCTGTGTAGTCTTGGACAAGACACCTAACCTCCCTGATTGCCTTATTTTGGAATCATTGCATGGACTAGAGGCAGCATAAGTACCCAGCACAGGGCATGGCACAGCAAATGTTTGTTATTATTATTATTCTTGCTATCACTGTTGCTTGTCAAAACTGCTGATAACACTTTTTAAAAATTTTTTTGGGAAAGAATCTCACTCACTCTGTTGCCCAGGCTGGGGTGCAGTGGTGTGATCTTGGCTCACTGCAACCTCTGCCTCCTGGGTTCAAGCGATTCTCCTGCCTCAGCCTCCCAAGTAGCTTGGATTACAGGCATGTGCCACCACACCCAGCTAATTTTTGTGTTTTTGGTAGAGATGAAATTTCACCGTGTTGGCCAGGCTGGTCTTGAGCTCCTGACCTCATGATCCGCCTGCCTTGGCCTCCCAAAGTGCTGGGATTATAGGCATGAGCCACTGCGCCTGGCCTATGATAACACATTCTTTAGCAACCTTTTCTCTGGTTTCTCCTTAAGCATGTCCTATAATCAAAGAGTCTGTAACTAAACCAAGTTCTCAAGGAAGAAATATACCCTGCTGATACATTTACCATTGTTTCTTAGGAAACTTTTCAGCAGTTTCGAACCAGTAGAGTTGAAACCACTTCTGGTTTACCTATGACAAAACGCACCGACAGTGCTATGGATACTTAAGATGAATGCTGGTGATAGATTTGGTTAGTTCGAGTGCTACTGAGCCCTGGGTCACGGGGTCAGTCGCTTTTCATTTGGCATCAGGGTCACATTCTGCATCTCTAATTCCTGTAGCTGTTGGGACAGGAGGGACCAGATAAGAATGTATGGCTGGATCAGTGCAAGCCATTTATTCAACAGATGTTGTTCATATAGTACAAGGTGCCAGGGATTAGGCAAGTAGTTGAGGGTACAAGTGTGAACCAGACCTAGTTCCTGACCGCAGAGGGTTTATAGCAGTTTAGTTGGAAGGTAGAAAACTAAAATGGAGTTGACCACAGGCAACTTAAACATGTGAAGTTCAAACCCTGTTCATGAATGGAAACGGTTTTGAAAATAGCCAATAGATAGACTAGAAAGGAAAGCAGAGAAGGGAGGCAAAAAGGGAGATACACCCACATATAGAATTCTCTAGACACACAGGGAGATGCTCTGACAGATCCATGCTTGTCGCCGACAGGCAGTTTGGGTGCCAGTGTAGAAGTGCGTCTGAAGGCCCACCTAGCTGAGTCAGGGAGAAGTCTCCAGGCATGCCCACCTGCTTTTCATGTAAATAGGATTGATCTGTTTGAAGCAACTTGCTACTTCTTCAGTTTATGAATCCAGTCATCTCAGTTGAACAAGGGTCTGCATAACAGAGCAGCTGAGTGATCAGAGTTGATGGACATGGATTCCCTTTTTATGTGTTTGGTATTTTATTTAATCTTTTTTTTCCAGGTTTTAATTTTTAAGTTCGGGGGTACACGTGCAGGTTTGTTACATAGGTAAACTTGTGTCATGGAGGTTTGTTGTATAGTTTATTTCATCGCCCAGGTATCAAGCCTAGTGCCCATTAGTTATTTTTCTTTCCCGGATAGGGTGGGTTTGTCTCAGAGCTGGAAAGTGAGAGGACTTGGCTTGTCTCAGTTCTCCTGCCGCAGTCCTGAGAAAAGTCAGTCAATCTCTGTGAGCCTTTTTCCTCCTCTCTGTACAATGGGGAAAAGGAACAGCAGCTTCCTTCCAGGGTTCTCTGGGGATGAAACAAGATGATGTATATGGATCACACTGTGGTGTCTATTGTTATTACAGACTCTGCTCGGGAAGGGATGGCAAAAATGCAACAGGAGAAATAAGACCTTGGGTTAAAAGGCAGACTCAAAGTGAGAGCAGGCATCCTCTTGATTTCATGCCCGGGTCTTCTCCTCTGTATCCAGGCTCTGTAAATGACATTAAGGACTGAGTCATTTACTTCCCTTTATAGCACTCGTTTCCAATAACATTGAGAACCTGGAACCACCCCCAGCTGGTGCACTCAGTGTTCATTTCCACTGCTCAAGCTGGATAGTCACTTCATTTCCTTGGAAGTCTTTTTCAAGTCAGATGAATGCTTTATAGTTTGGCCATAAGAAAACACTACATAGCACCGCTTTCTAATTTGTCTCCTTTGGTAACACCAGGTGGTGCTGGCAAACAAGTAATTCATCTGCAAGCTATCAGGTGAAAAATTTTCGTTTGCAGGCATTCTTGTATTCTCTCACCAAATCTTTTATTTGTTAATCTCATATAGTAAGATGCAATTGAAAGCATGTGCAAGTTTAGTAGTTACTCACAGAAATAGATTCAAGATGTGATTATTTAGCAATGTGTGTTTTAAATCCCAGCTACATCAAATGGCCAACTCTTAGATTCAAAAGGGATTAATCTATTTAAAAGGATCCCGATCTGTTTCACAGAAATATATATATATTTATATATACATATTTATATATATTTTTTATATACATATTTATATATATACATTTTTTTAGATAGGGATAGATCTCTGCAAAAGTGTTGCCAAATACATTTTGGAAATGCAATGTATTATTTTTATACCTGGAGATTCTCTCTGTATATTATGATAAGAAAGCCTGAAGAATTCATCAATAAAGAAAGCTGTTTAACCTTTTAAGGAGTTTTTAAACTTAGTTGATCATAGACTACCCCTTCCTTTTCCTCAACATGTGTTAACATTGATAAGGATAAGTGTGTTTTAGGATGTTGTATTCGAAATGTTAGGTAGGGACAGTGGCCTTCTGGTTTTTAATTTTGTGTGTGTTTCATGTCACTGTGATGTCTCAGAAGTATTTCCAGGTGCCTGGGGGCTGGTTCTAGTGATGTTTCTATCCATGCAGATGTTACATCACACTGGCTCAAGCTCTGGGAATGAGCATGGGAGGAGCCCCTGCTGGACCTGCAGGCACAGGCAAAACAGAAACCACTAAAGACATGGGACGATGCCTAGGGAAATACGTCGTGGTTTTCAATTGTTCAGACCAGATGGATTTCCGAGGACTTGGACGGATTTTTAAAGGTATGGGTTATATTTTTTAATTTGGTGAGAAATTTCAGCCAAGATGGAATATTTTGCTAAAATTTGTTTTCAACAATTGGCCACATTTTAGAATCATTTTCAACTTTGTAAAATTTTTTGGAAAATCTTCAATCCTGCCAGGTTGGGTGGACCAAATGTTACTATCTCCTGCCTTTTTTTGATGTTCCTTTATCACTGCAGCTTGGGTGTTTACAGGTACAGTGCCAAATTGTGAGCTGCTTTGGGTCACTTGATGCATAGATCTATTTGTTCCACTTTTCTTTTGAATGAACTTACATCTGGCTCATTTTGGCAGCTACATAATATCCTTTTTCTTGGTTTTCCAAAATTATATACTAATTGGATTTTTCATTTAATTTCCTTTCCAAGGACTGGCACAGTCTGGATCCTGGGGTTGTTTTGACGAATTTAACCGTATTGATCTACCAGTTCTCTCGGTTGCAGCCCAGCAAATTTCCATTATTCTGACATGTAAAAAGGAGCACAAAAAGTCTTTTATTTTTACTGATGGAGATAATGTGACTATGAACCCTGAATTTGGGCTTTTCTTAACCATGGTAAGGAGTGGCTAGAAAAGCTACTGAATTTCAGCCTTCTTATCACAATTTTCATGCATCTCCCTGGTCATATGTCATCTATTTATCTATTTTCCTGAATGGAAATTGGGATTGTAACTTTACCTCCTGTTGAAAACCCTTTGGTGTTAAGCAAAGATCATATGAATAACTCATGATTTAGCCTGTCCAGGTAAAAGGAGAGTGAGATATGTAAATGAGTTCCCTGATTGTCATTCCAGACTTGTGTGTACATAGTGAATCTTTTAATATCATGCTGACTTGTGCTTGATTGCATCGTTCATCCTTGGACTTTATTTTCTGTTTAGAATCCTGGCTATGCCGGACGGCAGGAACTCCCTGAAAACTTGAAGATTAATTTCCGCTCAGTGGCCATGATGGTGCCTGACCGTCAAATTATCATAAGGGTGAAGTTGGCTAGTTGTGGCTTCATTGACAATGTTGTTTTGGCCAGGAAGTTTTTCACGCTCTACAAACTGTGTGAGGAGCAGCTTTCTAAGCAGGTGTGTCATCCTGGAGGTCTTATGCACTTAGGCATGTTTCATTTTTCTATTCAGCAGAATGTTCTCATTTTGAGAAATATTAGACTAGGCTTGTTGACAAAGGATTTTATTGATGCTAAGTAGAAAGGTATATTACTACAAAAGTAATTTTATATGCATAGTTTTATTAAGAAATACATTAAATAAATTAATATTTACAGCATAGAAATGAAGTGAATATTATGTGCACTGGTTTAAGAGCCAAAGATTTATGGATATTAACATTGGCTGTTTATACCACTTATAGATTCATTGTCATGTGTGTTATGTGTTTTCATTATTTGTAGGAACCTCTCAATGATTTATTCTTCCTAATTCTAAGCTCACTTGAGTATTTGACCAAGGTTTGCTAACTGTCTTGTTTATATGTTGCAACCTTCTTGCTAGTTTCCTCGACTGTTTAGGGTTGCAGGTTCAGGCATCATGAGGTTTCATAGTTAAAAGTCATGGAATTAAACATATACTTCTGCATTAGTTATCTATTGCTGCATAACAGTCATCTAACAATCATACCACAAACTTTGTGTCTTGTAACAATGTACATTTATTACTACATGGTGTCTGTGGGTCAGGAGTTAGCTGAAATGAGTCCTGTGGTTTGTGTCTAACAAGGCTACAATCAAGGCGTTGGCTGGGGCTGTGGTTTCATCTGATGCTCAAATGGGGACAGTCTACTTCTGAGCTCACTCCGGTTGTTAGCAGAATTCTGTTAGTTGAGGGTGTAAGACTGAGGGCTTTGATTTCTTGCTGGCTGTTTTCTGGAGGCCACCTTTAGTTCCTACAGGCAGTGCATAGTTCCTTGCTATATGGGTTTCCCCAACATGACCGCTTACTTTCTCAAAGTCAGCAAGGAAAGTGTTTTCAGCAAAACGAGTGCTACAGTCTAATGTGACCACATAATCACACACACATAATCATGTACAACCTGTTGTCTCTGCTGTATTCTATTAGTTAGAAGAAGCAAATCACAGGTCCTGCCTACTCTCAAGGTGATATCATATAAGGATATGATCACCAGGAGGTGGGCATCATGCCACAATTTTTTAGTACTTATCAGTGAAAATTACTAAAAATATATGCTAAATAATGACACCATGCAGTAAACATAAGACTATAACATGAATAACACTTCCTAACATATATAACCTTTGTTCCATCTTATCACTTAGGCTTCTATTTCAAACTTCTTTGAATCTTTAATACTTTTTATACCCACAGGTTCAACCTAATTACATTCCTACTCAAAAGTTCTTTTCCTGTGAGTGTTCAGACACACACAGATTCTTCTGGCTCTGGCCATTGAGCCTTTCTGATTAGTCTGACCCTAATATTTTGTCTCCAACATTCTTGGTTTCTTCTGCTTATTGGGGCCCTTACTCACTCATTCTTATTGTATTAGTCTGTTCTCATGCTGCCAATAATGACATACCTGAGACTGGGTAATTTATAAAGGAAAGAGGTTTAATTGAATCACTCTTCAGTATGGCTGGGGAGGCCTCATGAAACTTACAATCATGGTGGAAGGGGAAGCAAACACATCCTCTTCACATGGTGGCAGGAAGGAGAAGTGCTGAGTGAAGAGGGGAAAAAGCCCCTTATAAAACCATCAGATCTCATGAGAACTCACTATAATGAGAGCAGCATGAGGGTAACTGCCCCCATGATTAAATTACCTTCCACTGAGATCCTCATGTGGGGATTATGGGAACTACAGTTCAGGATGAGATTTAGGTGGTAACACAGCTAAATCATATCATTCTGCCCCTGGCCCTTTCAAGATCTCATGTCCTTACAATTCACAATACGGTCATGCCCTTCCAACAGTCTCCAAAAATCTTAACTCATTCCAGCATTAACTCAAAAGTCTAAGTCCAAAGTCTCATCTGAGACAAGGCAAGTCCCTTCTACCTATGAGCCTGTAAAATCAAAAGCAAGTTAGTTCATTCCTAGATACAATGGAGGTACAGGCATTTGGTAAAAAATACACCTGATCCAAATGGGAGAAATTGGCCGAAACAAAGAGGCTACAGGCCCCAACGCAAGTCCAAAATCCAATAAGGCAGTAATTAAACCTTAAATTTCCAAAATGATCTGCCTTGACTGCATGTCTCACATCCAGGTCATACTAATGCAAGAGGTGGGCTCCTAAAGTCTTGGGCAGCTCCACCTCTGTGGCTTTGCAGGGTACAGCCCCGCTCCTGGCTGCTTTCATGGCCTGATATTGAGTGTCTGTGGCTTTTCTAGGTGCACAGTACAAGCTGTCAGTAGAGCTACCATTCTGACATCTGGAGGATGGTGGCCGCTTTCTCACAGCTCCACTAGGCAATGTCCCAGTAGGGACTCTGTGTGGGGGCTCCAATCCCATGTTTCCCTTCTGCACTGCTCTAGCAGAGGTTCTCAATGAGGGCTCCACCCCTGCAGGAAACTTCTGCCTGGACACCTTGGCGTTTCCATACATCCTCTGAAATCTAGGCGGAGGTTCCCAAACCTCAATTTTTGTCTTCTGCACACCTGCAGGCCCAGCACCAAATGGAAGCTGCCAAAGCTTGGGGCTTGCACCCTCTCAAGCAATGGCCTGAGCTGTATGCCGGCTTCTTTTAGCCTCAGCTGGAGTGGCTGGGATGCAGTGCACCAAGTCCCATGCCTACACACTGCAGGGGGATCCTGGACCTGGCCCAGGAAACCATTTTTCCTCCTAGACCTCAGGGCCTGTGATGGGAAGGCACTGCCATGAAAGTCTCTAACATGCTCTGGAGACATTTTCTCCATTGTCTTGGTGATTAACATTCAAATCCTCATTACTTACGCAAATTTATGCAGCTGGCTTAATTTCTTCTCCAGAAAATGGGGTTTTCTTTTCCATTGCATCATCAGGCGCAAATTTTCAAAACTTTTATGCTCTGCTTCCTCTTGAAAGCTTTGCCATTTAGACATTTCTTCCACCAGATACCCTAAATCATTTCTCTCAAGTTCAAAGTTTCACCAATCTCTGGGGCAGGGGCAAAATGCTGCCAGTCTCTTTGTATAGTAACAGTGACCTTTACTCCTGTTCCCAACAGGTTCCCCATCTTTATCTGAGACCACCTTAGCCGGAAATCATTGTCCATATAACTCTCAGTGTTTTGCTCAAAGCCGTTCAACAAGTCTCTAGGAAGTTGAAAACATTTTCATATCTTCTTGTCTTCTGAGCCTTCCAAGTCTCTAGGAAGTTCCAAACTTTCCTACATTTTACTGTCTTCTTCTGAGCTATCCAAACTGTTCCAACCTCTGCCTGTTACCCAGTTCCAAAGTCGCTTCCACATTTTCAGGTATCTTGATAGTAGCACCCCACTCTATGTGGCACCAATTTACTAGTCTGTTCTCCTGTTGCTAATAAAGACATACCTGAGACTGGGTAGTTTATAAAGGAAAGAGGTTTAGTTGAATCACACTTCAGCATGGCTGGGAAGGCCTCAGGAAGCTTACAATTATGGCAGAAGGGGAAACAAACATGTTCTTCTTCATGTGACATCAGGAAGAAGTGCTGAGCAAAGAGGGGGAAAAGCCCCTTATAAAACCACCAGATCTTGTGAGAACTCACTTACTATTATGAGAACAGCATGATTCAATTACCTCCACCTTGTCCCTCCCACGACACATGGGGATTATGGGGACTGCAATTCCAGATGAGATTTGGGTGGGGACACAGTCAAACCATATCACTTATCTTTCAAATAAATATTTTTTCCATGCTGTTTCTTGAATGGAGAAAACTTCCCACATCACTGGCTCCTGCTCTTTTCTTCAGTACCACTTCACTACTTCCCTCACTCCTACCACCTATGTTCACAAGGTCATTGTGAAATGTAATAAATCAATGTGTGCAAAATAGTTGGACCCATACTGATCTCTTGGTGAACATTCTGTGACTTTCCCTTCATGCCCACAGATTTAACTGAGTCCAACTCTGATAGGAAGTTTCTCATGATTAATTTTACTCACCAACACTTTTAAGTCATTGTAACTTTTATACAATTTTATTCACATTTCTATTTTATTATCTTTATTAGAATTTAAATTCCCTGAAGGTGGGAACTGAATTTGAATATTTTTATGTGCTCCATCTTCCAAATGACTAGTATTAAGTGAGGCATACTGCTCCCAATTACCTCAGCAGATAACTGTAGTTTTTTCCTATACACCTTTTTTATTGTGGTAAAAGCATACAAAATTAAATTTATTATCTTAACCATTTTAAGTGTACAGTTCAATAGTGTTAAGTATATTCACAATGTTGTGAAATAGATCTCTATAAATTTTTCATCTTGAAAAACTGAAACTCTGTGCCCACTAAACAACAACTTCTCTTTTTCTCCTCCCTTAGCCCCTGGTAACCATCATTCTACTTTCTGTTTCTATGAATTTGACTATTGCCAATAGTTCATATAAATGAAATCATATAATGTTTGATTTCTTGTGACTGGCATATTTTACTTAGCATAATGTCTTCAAGGTTCCTTCATGTTTTAGCATGTGACAGGATGTCCTTTTTATGGCTAAATAATATTCTGTTTTATGCATATACCACATTTTGTTTATCCATTAATCTGTCAATGGACATTTGGGTTGCTTCCACCTCTTGGCTATCATGAATGGTGCTGCTATGAACATGGATATGCTGATATCTCTTTGAGACCATGCTTTTATTTATTTATTTATTTATTTATTTATTTATTTATTTGTGAGACAGAGTCTTGCTCTGTTGCCCAGGCTGGAGTGCAGGTGCAATCTCGGCTCACTGCAACCTCTGCTTCCTGGGTTTAAGTGATTCTCATGCCTCAGCCTCCTGAGTAGCTGGGATCACAGATGCACACCACCACGCTTTGTTAATTTTTGTAATTTTTTGGTAGAGATGGGGTTTCATCATCTTGGCCAGGCTGGTCTCAAACTCCTGGCCTTAAGTGATCTGCTCCACTTGGTCTCCCAAAATGCTGGGATTATGGGTGTGAACCACTGTGCCTCTGGCCCATTCTTTCAATTCTTTTGGCTATATACCCAGAATTGGGAGTGTTGGATCATATCATTCTGTTTTTAATTTTTTGAGGAACCACCTTACTGTTTTCCACAATGATTGGATAATTAAATTTTGATTATTCACTTTATATATGGAAATTTGACATAATTGAGTTTTTATAAATATATAGTAAGGCAATGACAAAGCTGGGAGCTTGACTTTCTAATTTGTCCTTATCCTTCCTCCTCCAGGTAATCCTGAAGGGCAGCTGCTTTTTTTCTCCCCGATTCTCCTGTCTTCTTACTTACCACGAAAAAGACACATATATCTCTATGTATATGACAGTCATGAGTGCAGTCCCAGTTTAATTCTGGTTCTGAATTTTAACTTTAGAGAGATGAGCAAATTTCCTTATGTATGATTGATTAAGAATAAACCCAAAGGGATGTCTGTACTCCAAGAAGAAATTTATTCCTTTTTCCCTGTCAAGCTATAGCAGCTAGTTCTGATCTAAGGGCTTAAGCTAATGATGGCACATGGGAGGACTCTTTGGGATATTCCCTATTTGCTCAAAAAGTACATCTATATAGAAATCTTTTACCCCATTGTGTGTATGCATTTTCTAAAGGGAAACCAGCCTTTATTCATTATTGTGAATATAATTTCTGTCAGATTCACGTGGCTTCTGCAAGTACTTTAATGTTGAAAATAAGCCCAATGTATCTCACATTCTCTAGGTTCATTATGACTTTGGCCTGCGTAACATTCTGTCGGTTCTTCGGACCTTGGGAGCAGCAAAAAGAGCCAATCCTATGGATACGGAGTCCACGATTGTCATGCGTGTACTGCGGGACATGAATCTTTCTAAACTGGTAACACTCACAGATGGAAATGTTCCACCTACTTGAATATCAGTTCAACTAACTGCCCATATATGAGACTCCAAAATATTTATTTAAAAAGCTCATTTAAGATGCCTAATTGTCAGATAAAGTGCTGGAGAGCATCACTTTAAATTATACTTTTTCAGACATTTTTTTGGGTAATGACTCCTATCCACTCTAAAATGTGCCTATTCCAGTAGAATTGAAATGGATTAAAAAAATACACATGTTAAGATGCCAAATACCTTGAATCATTTTTGTGTTTTAGAACTCAAATCTCACCTTTGGAGTCTGGTAGAGCCTGGTAGAAAATGATGTGTAAATTCTACAAGTGTGTGATAGTTTCACACTATTATTTCACAATAGAGACTGATAATCAATGCCCACTATCCGTGGATCTATGTAAAGGTTGACAAAACGATAGGTTTTTATTTTAAATTAAAAGTATACACCAAATTCCAGTTCACAAACCTGCTATTAATTTCCAATTTGAAAATTCTTTTAAGTTTAAATTAGAAATTGTAGACTGTATGGTATCCCCCAAAACTGACTATTTTATGGAAAGATTGTTACATAGACAGTATTGTCTTTCCTTCCATTTCTTTCCTGTCTCCCTGTTCTCTTCCTCTTTATTTATTTATTTTTTTTAATTTATGGGAAAGATGAGGAAAATGTTACTTAACTTCAATAAAGGTGAAACGTTATTTGTTAGTGGCTACATTGCAATAACCCGGACCGTGTTGGGCATTTCCAGTTTATCTGCATGTTGCTATGTTTGTGCCAGAATAATTGGTCTGATTTCCCATTATTTTCTTTTTTAGATTGATGAGGATGAGCCCTTGTTTTTGAGTTTGATTGAAGATCTCTTTCCAAATATTCTTCTGGACAAGGCAGATTACCCTGAACTGGAAGCAGCAATCAGTAGACAGGTAATATGCTTCACAGGGCATCGAGGGCTGGTGTCTGTTTCATCTGAATTTAATGGGAATAAAGTGGGGCTGCTGTGGCTCCAACCTGTGCACTCTGAGCAGCAGAAATAACAACAGTGAGGCTAACACTGCTGTTTTAAGGGAGGCCAATGCACACCATGGGTCAAACTCCCCCTGCCCTGGGTCTCCTACCATTGCACAGCCACGTGTCAGCTAGTCATGTGCGAGTAACCCTGTTATTGGTGGAAACCATTCCACACCAGATTCAGAAATGAAATGTGATTGGTCAGCAGGGTGTGGATGGGGCTCATCTGGCTGCCTCTCTGGAGCTTGGCTTAGCTTGGCTCTGCCCTGGTGTTTGCTGTGTTGCCTGATTGTTGGATTCCTGCCTCTGCATGTTATTTGCAGTGATCTCATGTGGCTTCTCTTTCCTCAGTACTTGTGGCTTCTTGCTCAGACTCTGGCGGTGGGATACGGTGGGTAGGGTCGGGGAACCCACCACACTATGTATATCAGGTTGTGTCTGGACTTCCCATGGTACTTGGTGCAGCTTCAACTTTTTATAGTCTTCCTAGGAATGGAAATTAATTATGTAAACCTTATGCCTCAATTTCTTTTTCTATGAAGAAGAGTTTGGAAAAAAATGTTTTATAGAAGTGGCAATTAGTTCATATTTATAAATTGCACTTCAATTCCCTGAAAATATTTGTAATAAAAATCAAATGTGACCAGGTCTGGTGGCTCATGCCTGTAATCCCTGCATGCTGTGAGGCCAAGGTGGATGGATCACTTGAGCCCAGGAGTTTGAGTCCGGGCAACATGGTGAAACCCTGTCTCTACCAAAAATCCAAAAAATTAGTCGGGCATGGTGGCATGTGCCTATAGTCCCATCTACTCTGGATGCTGAGGTGGGAGGATCACTTGAGCCTGGGAGGCCAAGCTGCAGTGGGCAGTGATGGCACCACTGCACTCCAGCCTGAGTGACAGAGGAAGACTCTGTCTCAAAAACAAACAAAACAAAACAAGGAAATCAAATGTGACAGTACTTAGTGTATATTTTGCTTTGAAAATGTGGTACAGAAATGTCTAAATTTCCTGAGCAGGCAAGAGTGATAATTTGTCTGCAAGTGGTTTCTTCATTTTTTGGCTAAACTAATTTTAACACTACCTAAAAGCTAAGTATTGGGCCGGATGTGGTGGCTTATGCCAATAGTCCCAGTGCTTTGATAGGCCAGTGTTGGGAGATTACTTGAAGCCAGCCTGAACAACATAGTGAGACCTCGTCTCTACAAATAAATTAAAAAATTAGTCTGGTGCAGTGGTACATGCCTACAGTCCCAACTACTCACACAACTGAGGCAGGAGGATCACCTGAGCCTGGGACTTTGAGGCTGCAGTGAGCTGTGATCGCGCCACTGCACTCCAACATGGGGTGACAGAATGAGACTCTATCTCTAAAAAAAATCTAAAAATATAAAAAAGCTAAGCATTAAGTAATTAATATGATGACTTATGTTAGTAATTTGCTGCATATAAAAATTTGAAGAGCAAATCATAGCATAAAGTGATACATGATTATTATAAACAAGTATTTAAGTAAAATTGAAATCATTGTGTACTGTGAGTTCAAGCATAGCATGATGGTTAAGTGCATGGACTGTGGATTTGAACTTCTTGGGCTTAAACACACATTCCATAGTTTCACAAGCTTAATCATCTTGGGCAAATTGCTTAGTCACTCTGCTTCAATTTCTTTATCTGTAAAATGAAGATGTTAATAGTATCCCTTCCATCATGTTATTATAAAGATTTCCATCATGTTATTATAAAGATTGATCTTAGAATAATATTTGGCACAGAGTAACTTCCATACATGCGTTGATAGATAGAAACTCTGCAGTGGACATATAAAGACAGCTTGAAATTTATATGGAATTTTAATCAACATAGTATGCTATCCATTTTTCTAGTTAGAAGTATCACCTTTTAAATTAAACATTTAAAATGCATTTTGCCATTTGAGTCTTTAAGTTGCTCCTCAGATGTTCATTCAATAGAATATTTATATAAATGTTTTCAATTCCCAAAGAGAAATGCGGATATTTCTTATTAGTTTGGGATAACATCTTCACTACATTCAGCCAGATATTTGTCTATGTAAATATGTATTTTTCATGCAATGTATTTTTTATGGTAAAAATACAACATAAAATTTACATTTTATTCCTTTTTAAGAAGAATTAACATTGTTGAGCAAGTATTATCACCACCATCCATCTTCAGAACCTTTTTTATCATCCCAAATTGAAACTGTGTACTCATTAAAAAGTAAATCCTCCTCCTTCTTCCCCATGTCTGTGTGTGTGTTTTTTATTTTGGTAGCACAATGGTACATTGAGATTGTCATTGATGTGTTTCTTTTTTTTTTTTTTTTTTTTGAGAGGGAGTCTTGCTCTGTTGCCCAGGCTGGAGTGCAGTGGTGTGATCTTGGCTCACTGCAACCTCCGCCTCCTGGGTTCAAGAAATTCTTCTGCCTCAGCCTCCTGAGTAGCTGGGATTACAGGCTCACGCCACTATGCCAGGCTAATTTTTGTATTTTTTAGTCAAGATGGGGTTTCACCATGTTGGCCTGGCTGGTCTTGAACTCCTGACCTTGTGATCCGCCCGCCTCAGCCTCCCAAAGTGCTGGGATTACAGCCATGAGCCACCGTGCCTGGCTGTCATTGTTGTGTTTCAATGTGGGGATTCTCTTATGTTTTCAGGTTGAAGAAGCTGGTTTAATCAACCATCCTCCTTGGAAACTGAAGGTCATCCAGCTATTCGAAACGCAGAGGGTGCGGCATGGGATGATGACCCTGGGGCCCAGTGGGGCTGGGAAGACCACCTGCATCCACACGTTGATGAAAGCCATGACAGGTACGGGGCAGCCAAGGTCAGTGCCTGGAGTGGCCCATTTAAATAGTGGTGACACATTTGAATGCCCATGAGGTATGCAAAGGCAGATACAATAATATATTTTTATAGGAGGAAATACTGCTTTATTAATTATTGGGAACATTTTAGAGATAACATATTACATTAATGGACCAGAGAGGAAAAAAAACATTTTTAGGTGACGTTATGCACTGCACTGTATGTTTTACATATGTTATGTAATTTGACTTTCACAATGATCTTGAGAGGTGGTTATTATTATCCGTATTTTGTATGAAAATCAAGGCTCAAATTCAAAAACGTCCAAGGTCACGAAGATGGCAAGTGATGGGACTCAGAGTTAAGGTCAGGGCGTGCTTTAAAAAAGCCCAATTTTCCCAACATACCATGCCATTTCCCAGTAAATACAAAATACGATACACTGTCTCCCAATAAATAGAAAATAATTCCAAACCCAACTCTTATGTTCTTATGTTCTATGTGCCGAAGTCATCCCAATTCCAATCATAAATTACCTTCCCATTTGGAATCAGATTTGTTTTAGTAAAGTTAAATAAATGCATTTCATTTCCAGATGTCCCTAAGCCTTACATCTAAAGTCATCTAAGGATAATGGACATTACCATGTTCATGATTATTCTTGTCTTCTCTAGTTCTGATCAGACATTGATGACTCTCTTTCTAAAAACATTGGCATCCCGTAGACATTCCAAAATGTCACAGAACCTTGGCTGTTGGAATGCAAAATACATAGCAGTGCATTGAGATTCCAGGAGCCGCCTGAAAGCCCACCCAGCAAAGAGGTACCTGGGTGGGCTTTCCGGCAGTTCCTGGAACCTCAGTGTACTGCTACTGATGCAACACTGGTACATTGTTGGTGGTTGCTGAGGATTGCCAGTATTTACTGTGGGCCCCTGTACGTGTTGGATTTGGTCTTTGTTTCCTCAGTTATTGAAGGAAGTGAATTCTGTCTCTCAGGACTCTCTACCAGGCAGTCCTCAGACTGAGATACAGTGTGTTCTCAGCTAACACCTACCTCTACCAAAACTGACCACTCCAACCTGCAGGACTTACCACGTGGTCTTTCATGTATGCTATTAAGATTCTGATATGGGATTGTTATGTTTTTAAATGATTGTGTTCTTTCTCTCAAATTTTTCTCAGTAATATTTTTGTTGCAGTTACGAAGCTGCCTTTTGTTAACAATAAACTATAAATGCTCATGATACAATGACTTGAACAAAAGGAGCACTAAATATTAAACAATATAGATACATTATGTATGGTATGTCTAAATTATGTAATCTGTATGGCATCACTGATTCTGGAGAAGTTCCTTGCAAAGATGAATTAATCATTGGACTATTTGCTGTTTAACTTGGTTTCGGTTTTAGTAGTAGAGGAGACATTCATCTTACTTAAGGAACACATTGTTTCTAACTGAAAACGTTAATACTCCAAAAGAGTGAGAAGATAATTGAACTTCTGCTGAAGAAGTGCAAGGCCGATGCTTATTATTTGTTCCCTGATTTAGCATATATCTCATCATGTGTCTTTAACATTCCATAATTTGAAGATCTGTCGGGTTCTGTATTAGAAGCAGGGCATAAACATAGAGATAATTATAACTCAATGGGGAATTGCTATAAGGAAGATTTGGACAAGTATCTTGTGAGTAGAGGCCAAGGAGATCAGAAAATCCTCTAATGAATTATAGAAAGGCACACAGACCAGGTGCTACTTCATCTGAGGCTTGAGGGTTGAGTACCAGATTGATAAAAAATGTTTCCAGCAGAAAAAAGAGCCTATGCCAGTAGGAGGGATTGGAGAGAAAATGATATACCCAAGGAAGTGCTTTGGCACTTCCACCACGCCCGGCTAATTTTTGTATTTTTAGTAGAGATGGGGTTTCACCATGTTGGCTAGGCTAGTCTCGAACTCCCAACCTTGTTATCTGCCTGCCTCGGTCCCCCAAAGTGCTGGGATTACAGGCGTGAGCCACCGCACCCAGCCCATTTTTATAATTTTGTACTTTAAACCTTATTATTCACTCTTCTTCTCATTAACCACAGTCCCTTATGCACAGAATGCCAGCCCATTGAAGAGTAGTCGGCTTAGGGTTTGAAAGATTTGGATATATTTCTTCTTGAAAACACTTCCTGACCACAAAAGGAAGTCCTTGATTCATGCAAATTTCATTTAACTTATCGTTTTCAAGGTGAGCAAGAAAACATCACAAATCAAAGCTGATCATGGACAGAATGAGGCATCTTCTAGGTGGTATTTCAGGCATAAGATTTAATCTAGTGTAGCTTAAACCAAGGATTTTTTTTGAGCTGTGAAATTTAGAGAGCTTCCAGATTATATTAGTACCTTCATAAATTCCAGCATGGTATCCTTTTTCGACCCTAAACAATATGCAATTTTCTCTAAAGAAGATAAAAAAGTGCTTTAGTCAATATGATATAATGAAGCTAATTATGGTAACTTAGAATGCAGTAAGACATATTTTCAGTGTAGCTCTGCAGTTTTCATATTTTGAGCACCTGCTGACAGTACACCACAAATTAGTGCAATGTTGCTTAATGATGGTTCACTTCCCATCTGAGATGTCTAAAATTTGGATTTACTTGGTATAGATTGTGGAAAACCACACCGGGAAATGAGGATGAATCCCAAAGCGATTACTGCCCCACAGATGTTTGGTCGGCTGGATGTTGCCACAAATGACTGGACTGATGGGATATTTTCTACGCTTTGGAGGAAAACATTAAGAGCAAAGAAAGGTAGAAGATAAATTACAAGGATTATTTTAGAGATACACTTCTAGATAAAATCCTTGGAGGCTATACAGAATTAGTAGAACAACTGTATTCACCGTATAATATCTTAGCCAAGACTAAGAAGTCATAAATCAGTATGATATTTGTGAATGTTGAAATAATGAAATTATTGATTACAGTATTTAAAATGCTCCCTTTTTTGAAATAATATTTTCTAAAAAAAAGTCCATATCCCTGTGATGTCTTAGAATAAAATAGATGGAAAAAACTGTTAAGGAAAATTGATAGTATTGAATAAAGTGATTTTACCATAACTATTTTCACTGAATATTTTACCAGTGTTACTCTCATTTAAGTACAACCTATTTTTAAAGAATTGATTTCTCTATAAAATCACAGGGAAAATGGGTTATTTGGGAGAGAAAATTGTGTATAGCAAAAATGAAGTCTCCATTGAACTAATAAATTATTCTGTGTAGATGGACATTGGTGTTCAGTTGTTTAAACAAACTCATTAAGGGCTGGCGGTTCAGTCTGAATAGTCCTTCACTTATGGACTTTGTAAATTGAACCCAATGTTCTCAGAATATAAACTAGGAGGGAAGAGGTGATATCAGATGTCTTCTCATTTGATTTCCTCACTCCTGAGTGAGTAGGCAAAAGGCACAGTGAATACAACTGCAGAGAGAAAGAAGCAGGGGAAGGAGGAGATATTTGGGCTTCCTGGGTTTACCCTTTGGGCAACAGTGTCCTTCTGAAAAATGTTTAAAGTAGTACCATTGAAGTTCTCATTTAAGGAATGTAGCTGATAATGCTAATATTAATTGTCCAAAGATCAATGAAAATGCTTCATTTAAAAAATGTGCTCAAATTAGAAATTGTTTTTCTTCTACTGGAAATAAATCAAATTTTATTTCTGATTTGTTCCAGTAATCCATTGTAAACACAGACCCAGTGACCAAATGTGACTTAAAAGAACAAGAGCTCAGAGGAGTTTTTTTTTCCCCCTTCTTTCCACATTAAAAAAAGGCAACATATGCTTTTTCTTTCAAAGTGACTCTGGTGATTAGATCACCATTTTATTTTACTTGAATTGCTAGTTGAATAAACTTGATTAGGATTTTCAAAGCATTTTATTTGAAATAGACAATTCCACAGTTGTTGCATAACAAAGAAAATGTAGAAACACAAGACAGGTCGTGGTGTTGGTGAGTAAGAGAAGGTAGTAGTTGAGAAAGTAAGAGGAATGCTACTGTTAAATCAAAAACCTAAATTTACAATGACATTCTTGCTGAGCATTCTGCCGACGTTTGTCATTTTCTCTACCTCCAAGTATCTCCTTGTGTGCCTGCTGTCAGGTTTTGTGCCCAGCGCTCCTCTGAAATTGCGATATCAGAGACACCCCTGACCTCCAGCTTGTCAAATACAAATTGCCAGTTCTCAGTCTGGTACTGCCCTCAGTAGCATTTGGCACAGTTGATCGCCTGCTTTCTTGAATCCCTTCCTTCCCTGGGTTGCAGGGATCCTGCTAGCTCTTTTTCCACTTCTGCTTCCTTGAGAAGTCTGGAAGAAAGGGGAACAAACACAGGAGACCGTGCCAGAAGCCTAAGGGTTACAGAGCCTCTGTCTTCAGCCCTCTTCTCTCTCCACACTTATCAAGAAGAAACTTACCCAGTCTCATAGCTTTAAATCCCATCTCTAAACTGGTGGCGTTCACATTTTAATCTCCAGCCCTGACCTCTCTCCTGAATTCCCAACTCAACAACTCTATGAGGATCTCTACTGGACGCCTTAGACTTAGGTGCAAACCAGAATGGGTTCCATAGCTCTGTCTTTCCCACTGCCCTCATGTACCTCTCCCCCTCCTCCTCTTTTTGCCATTCAGGTTCTACTTCTTATTGTTCCTGGAACGTGATCACCTTAGTTTGGGATGCTAGAGACTGAGTGGCTTATAAATAATAGACATTCACTTCTCATAGTTCCGGAGGCTGGAAGTCTGAGATCAGAGAGAGCCAGCATGGTCGGGTTCTGGCGAGGGCTTTCTTCATGGTTGCAGTCTGCCGATTTCTTGCTGTACCCCATGTTGCAGAAGGGCAAGGGGGTTCTCTGAGGTCTCTTTATAAGGACACTAATCTCATTCATGAGGATATTTTGGGGGAACACAAACATTCAGTCCATTGTATTACACTAAGCCTGTACCTGCTTCAGGGGCTTAGCACTTTCTGTTCTTGCTGTCTGGAATATTCTACCTCTAGATCTTTACATCACTTCATTCTCTTCCTGGAATATCTTATTGACCACCTTATCTAAAACATGCCCCATGCCCTCATTCTACTTAATTTTTCATATGTTAAACTTTTCTTTATTTGTTTGCTTGTCATCTCTACTCCTTAGAATGTAAGCTCTGAAAAAGCAGGATATTGTCTCACTTACCACAATATCCCCAGCCCCTAGAACAGTGACATGTGCAAGGCGCTCAATGAATATTTGTCCAATAAACAAATGACTTTTTGATTTAATTATGGGCCTTGACTGCGATATAAAGATCTTTGAAGAGCCTTTGTGATAAAACAAGGTACTCATTTAGAGCAAAACTGTATTTAAAAATTAATGAAAATTACATCGAATATAGTACTTCTTCAAACTCTTTTAAACTTATGTGTACATGCGCTGCATGTGTGTATGTATTTTTTTTTCTCCCTTTCGTGGGGTATTCTAGGGGAACATATCTGGATAATTCTTGATGGTCCAGTAGATGCCATCTGGATTGAAAATCTGAATTCTGTTTTGGATGATAACAAAACTCTAACCCTTGCCAATGGTGATCGGATTCCCATGGCTCCAAACTGCAAGATTGTTTTTGAGCCTCATAACATTGACAATGCTTCTCCTGCCACCGTCTCAAGAAATGGAATGGTTTTCATGAGCTCTTCTATCCTTGATTGGAGTCCTATTCTTGAGGTATAATTGAATCCTTCTTTTGTATAATTAAAAAGGAAAACAGACCCGTTAGCATTCTTTTAGTGTGTGTGCCAATTTTTCTGCAGATGGCAGTGTTATTGCATTTTTATGCTAATGTTTATGGAAGATACCTTGAATGCACTGGGACATTCAAACGCTGATTGCTCCTAACATGTTTCTTCATTACTCTTCTAATCACTTTTGAACTGGGATTTCCAGCCTCTGGGTTGTAGAGTAATTGCCAGGCCTGTAGGAACCAACAGTCTTGCCAAACTGTGTCTGAGGATGGAATAAGTAAAATTTAATTTGATAACTTTGGGGATTCATGATATTTTTGAAAGGTACACACATAAAGTTTAGGAGGACCATCTTAGAACATTAACTTGAAGTCATTTTATTAAAATTGCATAAAAGGAATTTTTATGAGATTCATTAGTTATAACATTAGTTCTAAGTTTGAACTTGGCAATAATATTTCAGATAACATCTCATCAATTCATAATCAGGTATATTATTTTATTACCAGCAATATGCCCTAGAATATATTGATCAGAATTATAAATAATGCCTTGCAAACTTAGATATTTTGCTATATAAATATTATAATGTAAAGCAGAATGTTTATTAGATAAGCCACATGAAAAATCTTGTTTTACATAGTTGGTTGTATTATTTTCATCACCTAAGTTTTTTGAAGATGATTTTGATTGAAAACATTTGAATTCCTAATTTAAATAAAGTAGATGTTTATTTCACATTATATCATTACATCTTAAAACTTTTATTTCTATATGGTTATATCCTAACTTTTTACTAATGTCTTTCCATAATTAACTCTGTTACAAAAGGCTTTAGATTTGGTATGAAGCTGTGAAGAAGAAGGGAATCATACAACAAAATGATGTTGACATATAGTTGAATGTGTCACTAAAAATAGTTGTAAAGGTTTCAGATTTCACAATTAACTTATCGATCCATTAAGGAGAAGAAAAGCAGAGGGTTGCAGCCCTGTCTTTGCAAAAGTAATCACTAATGACAATTCTTTAAAATATAGATGATTGGGTTACACTTCAATCTTACCAAATTAGAATCTTTGGGAGGCAACTCAGGATTGTTCTCTTTTTTTTTTCTTTTAAGTGCCACAACATTTTTTTTTCCCACCTAGCCAGGCTTGGAAACCACAGGTATAGCAAAGTACAAGTGAAAATGTATATATGTGATTTTTCCGAAATAGTTCAATTTCGAAAAGATTTTTGAAAAGTACTTTTATACAACTAGCTAAGGAATACTAGCTAATGCATGAGTTTGATATTTATAAAATAAGCTTTTGCTATAGTCTGTCCATACTGACTGAATAAGACCTTTACGTTAATGCTACACCCACCTCATAATATCCTATATGTTTTAAATAATGCATTTTCTTTTTTGGGAATTGTTAGGAAGAGCAAGACTCATGAAGAATCAGATTGGAAATGTTTAGAACAGGAAAGCCAGCTCTGAGAGTTGTTAGAGGGCAGAGCAATTGAAAAGTTGTGTTGCTGGCAGTCTGTCAGCTTCAGGGAGCTAAGCTGGTTACCTGCCCTGGTGAATGTCGTCTTTCGGTTCCATCAACTCAAAAGTGCTGTGTTGTGTTTTTGTCGAGGTAGAATCATGGTAAATTCATGAACTAATGAATAATTCAGAGTCAACATTTTATTGCTTCTGTTCAGAGTCTCTAATTGTTTCTTGAAATATTGAGGTGAAGAATGAGCTGATCTCTTGACCTTAAGAGAACTTGCCTCATCTTAAGGAAACTGTGTGTGTTAAGTGGTATGTTGTTCTGAATGAGGTGCAGATTCTTAATACTAGGTTTCCCAAATGACTAAATTCTCCATTTTCATGAATATCCTTGATATTTTTCTACATTATTTATTAATTAAATTAGAAGAAATAAAAAGAAACAACTAATTGTAGTAAATCTTTGTTTTCTATTAAAAAAATCTGGGGGCCAGGCACAGTGGCTCATGCCTGTCATCCCAGCACTTTGGGAGGCCAACGCAGGCAGATTGCTTGAGGCAAGGAGTTTGAGACTAGCCTGGGCAATATGGCAAAACCCTGTCTTGACAAAAATTACAAAAATTAGCTGGGTGTAGTGGCATGCACCTGTGGTCCCAGTTACTTGGGGGGCTGAGGCTAGAGGATCACCTGAGCCTGGAGGCAGAGGTTGTAGTGAACCGAGATCATGCCACTGTACTCCAGCCTCAGTGATAAGAGTAAGATCCTGTCTCAAAAAAAGAAAAAAAATCTGGGTATGGATTTCCTTTGTTCATCTTTTATTCTTTACTTTCCCCCCTGAGTTATTTCCATAGATGTGCCTTCTCATTTTCTCCCAGCATATTTTAATCAAGAATTGAAGACTATTTCTCCATCTATGAGCATATACATAGTATAGTATTGAACATGTGGGCCCAGGCTTTCTGGGCTGAATTCTGCCCTTGCCACCTGCTTGCAGTGGGCTCCTGAGCAGGCTACCTACACTTCCTGGGCCTCTGGTTCCTCATGTGTAAAAGGAGGATAATAACAGTTCTTACCTTGTAGGGTTGTTTTGAAGATTAAATGAATTAATACGCGGAGGAGTTTGTAACAAAGCCTGGAACATCGTGTGTGGTATAATCATTAAACATTATCGTTACTAACAGATACTTTTAAAATTTTTGTTCCCAAATGACCATTTTCCTAGTGTGCTAGTAAGTTTCATGAATACACTTATCTGTGAACTGACAGGGTTTTCTTAAGAAACGCTCGCCTCAAGAAGCAGAAATTCTTCGTCAGCTGTACACCGAGTCTTTCCCGGACTTGTATCGCTTCTGTGTCCAGAACTTAGAATACAAGATGGAGGTGCTGGAGGCCTTTGTCATCACGCAGAGCATTAACATGCTCCAAGGCCTGATTCCTCTCAAGGTAAATTGCTCAACTTTCTAGAGAAATTCTCTTATCAACTTAGCCATGCTGCGCAGAGAGTACTATATTTTCTTTTTTACTGATGTAGCCATGCTGTGCAGAGAGTACTATGTTTTTTTTTTTTTTTTTTTTT